TAAAGTGACTGTATTAGCTAAAAACACAGGTAGTGGAAATGGGATTGAACGAAACTGCTTAAATCCCCCATCACATTTCGACACAGAAAAGCAACTCTAGTAGAGCAAAACCGATGATAATCGAGTATACCCGATCAGGGTCTACCAATTTCTCGAGTATTATATCCCTTTCAAGAAGAGCTTTTTCTCACCTTACTATTTCTCCATTCACATCAACTAAAAACACCCCACACCCAACACCCCCCGCAATATGAAAATTATATCACGATCGACCCCACCACCTGTCAGAAACCTAAGGCGCACGACGAAATCCAACAAAACCATCATCCAAAACGCAACACTGAAATTCAAAGCGCAAACAATATCCCCTTGAATGTCGCAGCAATTCACTCCCAATACGGCGGGCAAAACTCCACTCATCTCTCCCCCAATTCTCGAGGCCCGTTTAAAAAATACCCTCACAAGGGAAAGCAAAATTTCGCCAAACACCACCTCCAATTACTCCCTCACCCTACCAACTGGTCCTCCGGGATCGAACCAGGTAGTCGTACTGCCCCCAACCTTGAGAATTCCGAGTACACTAGTCCCACCGCCAATTGTCCCGGGTCAGGAGGATGGTCCCGCAGTTGGTGATGGGGGTTGGTGGTCGTTGAAGAGGCCCATCCTCCTGTATTACTTGTCGCAGCTATACCTGCCATTATATGTCTCCTAGCCATTTTCTTACTTGTCTCGTTATTTTTAACTCAGAGATCGGGGTATCTCTAAGGGATTGTTCATGAAACAAAAAGGAAGCAAGAAAGGATGAAGTGGTGAGGGTGGAATCACTATTGACGATAAGTGGAGATGAACACGCAAGGAGGGAAAGCCTATGACTGACAACCAACCTCCTAACTAAGGACAGGACCGGAGGTATGATATATATCTCCCAAACACCACAAACTCAAAGAACTCCAAAGAAAGCTAACGAACCATGATCTCAAACAATCTAGAACCATCCTGATATCTCATAATCCACCATGATCCCTCAAGCCTCTGCCCTATACGTGTTAGCAGTAATAGTAGGTATAGGTACTGGGGTTATCTATATGAGAGTTAGGGTGTGGGAGAGTCAGTAGACGAGTCTTGGCCACTATATATTTCACCTTACATAGGCGGGGAAGGAGCAGGGAAATACAATGATCATCCTCTTTCCTTCATCCACATGCACACATATCGGTTCACCGCCACCCTTGCGATACGAACTACCATAATATGGGTGCTGTTATACGAAAAACGTACCAATCCCAAAACGCAACAAATGTTCCTCAATTCATAAGAAACTTGTTTAGACCGTAGAGTACCCTGTCCTGATTCTAGAAAATATTTGCCTTGAAAATTGCGCTCTGAATAGGCTTTTTGAGTCAATAATTCAAAATATTGGTTTTTTTTTTTTTTGCATAAAGAGATAGAGGAGATTGAAATCTATTAGAAAAATATTTATCGTAGTATTTCAAGAGGAGGACTTATTGTTATAGCATGTTTTGTAATTTTGTATGATATTCAAGAAATACAACTATAATAAAGCTGTCGTAATAATAATAATATTTAATTGTAATGTTTAAGGTCAGTTTGACCACTGGTTGGGTGCTATTATAAAATTTACTTGTAAAATTCATTTTCCCATTTTCTCAAGTTTTACCTGGTTGCTATGCAAACTTCAACCCAGAATAACTCTAGACCATTGAAAATGCAACATTACCTTTTTGCATAACAACACCCATAATATTATTATGTCTAATAGCATAGAGTGTGAAAGAAATGACAAAAGCCAAAAAACCTATATCCTATGCCTAGTGGCATAGGATGTGAAAGAAACTATCTCATGCCTCATGCCTCATGCCTAGTCACCGCACACCTCAAAAACACATGCCCAATAACCTCCTATCCTCCTAATCGCATACCCGAACCACATCCACCAAACCCCATGCCCTATCGGTAATCCAACAATGGTTCCATTGATCAAAACTGTTAACAAAAGGAAGAAGCTATTGAAGTGGGAAAGGCCGCCCGCATGGGGCGGAGGTTAGCAGTTAATTTTGTATTTAAACATAATATTAAATTTTGTTTTTAAACATAATATTATTAAAAAACATCGATATCATACCCAGGGGTTTCTTTCTTGCCGGTGTCCCGCTGGCCCCGGGAGGGTTGGTTTGGACTGTTTGATATACTTTGATTAATACAGTACATTACATCTTTCTTTTAAGTACCTGGGTCTGATGCCAATTCTCCACGACCCCCTTCGTCTCTTCTACCGAGTCCCTAGGATTTTCTCGGCCCCCTATTCGTTTCACGGGGGTTGTCATCGTTGGCTGGGCGATCACGTTCCTCAATATCATTTGTGTATTGTGCCTTACCAGTTTCCCCGCTCTATCTTCTAATATCCGAACCGTTGGGGTCTATGTGGAGATGTTCTTCCTGGCTGCATGCCAGGGCATGGGAAACGAGATAGCGGAGCAGCAGCCCCGAGAAAAAAAAGTATTTGGACAATAACTTACGGGATATGGTGGTATTACGCCTTTCCTTTAGGGCACCATTTTCGCACCTCCTCCGGGTGTGACGGGGGGCATTTATTACAGTTCGCTGGAAGATAATCGCGGAGGGGGGTTCGTTGGTGAACAAAAGAAATATGATATTAAGCGAGGATCTATCGAATCGGAAGGATATAGATGGTCATCTCGACTGTGAATATTGCCCTCCCCAATTTTTGGAGGTATCATATCGTACTCTGGAAGTAATCCACAGGCAACAAAACAAAAAAAAACCCTTCTAGATTGACAGGGTCCGTATTCTAACCCACTATAGGAAGACTATCAAGCGACTTGGTTAACACCCATCCTCCTCTCCCCCGAACAGCCCCAGCCAATTACCACATTCACATATTTCGATCTCTTTCAAGAAGGGCTCTCTCTCCCTACCACACGCCCCCTGCATTCACATTAGCTAGAACACCCAATATCTCTCCCTATATCCAAGCCACATTACGACTGACCCCGCCACTCGTCATAAACCTAAGACGCACCACAAACACTGCTGAGGTCATGATCCGAGACAACACAGAATTCAAAGTACAGACAACCCCCTCTTGAACGTTGTACTAGCCCACTATCTATAAAGCAGGAAAATTTCCACCCATCTCCCCCTCAATTCCCAAAGCTTCTTCAAAAAAAAAACACCTTTACCAAAGAAAGCAAAATGTCACCAAACAACTCCACTCCCGGTTACTCCCTCGCTCTACCAATTGGTCCTCCGGGATCGAATCAAGCAGTCATGCTGCCTCCTAACTTGGCAATTCCTAGCACGCTTGTCGCCCCACCGATAGTTCCGGGTCAGGCGGGTGGTCCCGCTGCTGGCGCCGGGGAGGTAGTGGTGGTTGAAGCAGTGCATCCTCACGAAGATGGAAAATGGAAGAAGTAAGAGGTTTTTTTCTTTTTGCCAGTCTGGTACTGGCTCGTGGATAGTTGACTTAGATTGTTGAACGTTAATTTACTACATTACATCTCTCCTTAAGAAACCTAATCTGATGCCAATTTTCCACCGTCTCTTCCGTCTAATCCACTCAGTCCGTATTCGGAAATTCTACATATCACTTGCGGAGTAGTCCTTCCTCATCCCTAAGGGGTAGTCCTGTGGGTGTCCAAGTTATGCCAAGGCAGTTTTTCTCCCCGGAAGCCCCCAAATTCCAGCCAATGACTTCACCCTTTTCCCCATCTCACCCGAGAAACAGGGACATAACCGAGTGATATTCAATGCGTGGGCACATTGATACCAGTCATGCCAACGGAATCTCGAGAACGGCGTATAGCGTAGTACTCCCCACAACAACCCTCCATATTATGCAGTCATCACGGAGATCGTGAGACCCCCGATTTTCCCCCGATAGACTATCCCCCTGCAAGACCCAACAACTAACAAACGCAGCTTAGCGACTATCAGCATCTACAAACGATACCCCAATACTACCTTTGTTCCAGGTTACCAGTCATATCTCAATTCCGTTAATCCCGTATTTACCTCGCTTGATCGAAAACCACTCTCTACCAGCTTCGTAGTCCGATCCAGCACAAACCGGAACCTACGAATCCTCTAGTGCCAGAGAATGGCCCGTAAAACGGCTAACAAGTCCAGTTTCCCGCCCCACCACCTTACAAGGAGCCGGGAAGGTTAGGCCGGGGTAGGTTCCATCTCCGCGACAGAGGGTAAACAGTAGCATGATATATTCAAAAACTCACAACCGGAATTATTAAAACACTGGAAATCCCGCCTCTGTTACCGCTACAGTAAAGCCAATTTATGATCCTAGATCCATTACCTAATTAGTCTAGCACACCCCCGCCACCCCAGAACAGCAACTACAAGCCGACCCCGTAACCGTCACGAACACGGTTCCACACCTTCCCGGGCATGAATCATAGTCAACCTACCACGGTCGGTAAGTTCGAGAGTGTGTAAATGCCTTATTATGATAACGGTGTTTTGCCTACGTCACGCCCAGGATCGGTTAGTTGGAGAATATTTTTGTTTGCGGCGTTTGTTCGTGAATACCTGGGTATCGGAAGCACGGTTTATCACTCGGTGAAGTCTGGTATGAGATGGGTGAGGGCGGGTAGGACTTGTGGTAGTGGGGGGTTTTGGTTCTTGGATTTGGGTAAGAGAGGGGATGAAAGGTTCTCGATCAAAAATGTTAGAATGCATAGGGTGGTGTCTGTTATAGCTGGCGAAGTTCTGTTTGTCAAGCGGCTGATTGCCACTGCGTAAATCCGCAGCGTATTTCAATGCGTTACTCAACCGCCCACGAAATCCGAATTACACGTTATATATACCATTCAATTTTTTAAGTCCCAAAAATTATCAAACACAAAGGAAAAAAAGAAACAAAAAAAAGAGAGAAAACAAAAGAGATGAGCCAAAAAAAAACTCTTCTTTCCCATTTCACCTCCACCTCCACCTCCCCAGTCATTCTACTTCATCATAACCTTCCCAGCCACCCATCCCGGGAAGTTTATCCCAAACCCAATCCATCTAAATAGCGGGACCATACCGAACGTCGACCCGCGAATCCGCACAGTGTAGACAAAAAAGTACAACAGAACCCAATTCATGATCGTCATCGCCCCAAACGCCCCAAAGTACTTCCATTTCCCGCCGATAGGGATGTCCATTGCCTGCAGATACTCGTCTGCGATGGCGTACGGGCAGTAAGCGCATTGGGAGGTGGCAGAGGGGTTAGTGATGTAGCCGGTAGCTGTGCTGAGGAAATTTGCTGCGTAGGAGGCACAGGTCTCGTTGAAGCCCGGGGGGATCTCAAAGATTCCGAGTTCGTGCGGAGCGCATTTGACGGGGATTCCGGAAATGGTGGCGGAGAGGACGCCGTGGAGCCAGTATGTGCAGGGGGAGAGGTAGTATAGGGTGTAATAGAAGACGTCGGGCATGTCGCGGTGTGGTACGATAATACCGTTGAAGAGACCGAAGACGACGAAGATGAATGGTAATATCTAGGTGTTGTCAGTAACGGCTTCCTTGGGATCGGGAGGAGTGAATGTGACTTGCATTCATGGTGACCATTGGTGATGGCGAAGGCGCCGCGACCCAGTGACCCCAACTTGAGATGAAAAGGAACAGGAACAGCATCATGAAGAACACCTAGTATGATATGAGCAGAAAACAATTTTACCATGGGCAATGGGAACTCACGAATCCTGAAGTAGCTGTATCCGTTGGCTGGCCGGACGGGAAATACCACAAGAGGTAATAGATGATTGTAGTTGCAACAGCAGAGGGAATTTCCGCAACCGCGTGAGCAGTACAGAACGGAACCCAGCCGTATATCCTAGAAGGTAACTCTCTCACTTCCCAAATCATCCGATTCTCAAAGAACTTGGGAACGACACTATTGACAATGGCCGGCGGGAACACGACGATGAAATAAGCAGAGAAAATTCGGTTTTGCAAATCTGACACCTCAATTAGCACATACAATCACCCAAGCCAGAACCCCACTGCATACCTTGGATGGTATTGCCTGGATCCCAAAAGGTAAATCCATTGAATACACCAATCATGAATCCGATCCACAATTTCGCGTAAACGTAACTTGGCTCTCTCCATTGTTGTCTAAACAGTCTTTTGGTCATCATGGTAATCTGCAACCACATGGGGGCGGCGTATTCCTTGAGCTCAACTTCCGGCAATGGCTTCTCCCTGCGCTCGTCGCACAGTCGGTCAATTTCTGCTAAAATGGCCTTCGCCTCCTTCGATGTACGCCATTCGTGATCCCAATCAATAGGTTTTCCATCGCTCCTTGTGCCCTTTGCGGCAGTCTCGATCACGAACTCCGCAACGTTTTTCCCGGGAGGACAGTAGGCTCCCTTCTCGCCAAAGTATCGAATGACATCAGTTCCGTTCTCTCCGACAGGTCCGAAGTAGAAGGTATTACCGCCCGGATTGAGCGCGAGAATCATATCGAATTGTTGAATCAAAATGGACGACGGTTGGTGAATGGTGCAGATAATAGCCTGCCCAGCCTGAGAGAGTTTCTTCAGAATGCGGACAATAGAGAAAGCACTCTGACTGTCAAGCCCACTCGTTGGCTCATCCAAAAAGAGCAACAGATCCGGTCTAGCAGCAAGTTCAACTCCAACCGTAAGACGCTTCTTCTGTTCAACACCGAGAGAACGGACAACTGCATCCTGGAGGAAGTCAAGTTCAAGAAGAACCATAAGTTTATTCACATATTCCACCTTCTCGGCTTTCGGGACACTGGCTGGCTGACGGAGGATTGCGGAAAATTCCATAGCTTCGCGGACAGTCTGCGCAGGGTCGTGAACATCCATCTGCTCACAGTATCCGGTTCCACGCTGGAATTCAATACCGAGGGGACGACCATCCATCTGGATTTTGCCGGAAATAACGCCAACTTGATGGCGTTGAGACAGCGTGTTGAGAAGGGTAGTTCTAGAAACACAATTAATATCAAACCTCTAGCTTGGACGCCACGAACTTCAACTCACTTTCCGGCTCCCGAAGCACCCATGAGTGCAACCATAATTCCCGGCTTAGCGTACCCGCTAACCTTATTCAAGAGCTTCCGTTCACCACCGTTATACGGAATAGTGTACTCAATCTCCTTAAATGTAAATACACTCTTACTATCAATAATCTTTTCAACCTCCTCGGTAGATGGATCTCCGTTGAGCCAATCAGTAACAGCAATGCCTCCGGTAGCTTTCTCCTCATCCTTGGCCTTATTGGCGTCGATAACCCGCTTGCTCTTCTTACTCTTCTTGAATCGTAGGATGACAGATCCAGGGGCAACAAAGGAGATGGTTTCGGTTGCAACGAGAGTGGCAATGATATACAACGCTGCCCAAGCAATAACAACCCCAAAATTTCTCCAGAGGTGAGCACGCGTATAGTTGTATTGAGCTTCAATGAACTCATCGCCGGAGACATTATCAAGATTACCGGGCCTGCCAGACGCAATGACACATCCTTGATACTGCGGGAAGTTGTCATACACCTCTCCCCGCGGTACAACCATAGACCCAGCGCACTCCATTGTCCTCCCGGAGAATTCGTTGGCAAGAATGGCCTCAAAGAGGTAACCCATAGGATTCAGATGGAAGAGCCAGCCAAACCATATGGAATCGCGGAGGAGCTGTGTCTTAGGGATAATATAACCAGCATAAATTATGCATATATTAAGGGCCATTCCAGAAAACCGAATTGCGTCGTCGAGGGTGGGGCAAAGAGCCGAGAACATGCGGTAAAGAGCAGTGATACAGAACGCGTTAGTATATGTCAGGAGGAAGAAGATCCAGAATTTTCCTGCATCAGCATCGAATTTGGCCATGAAATACAGGATTATGCTAAATATCGACTATTCCGTTGACTGGTGAGCAAGCAATCATTCAAGAAAGGTGGGTGCGGTCACTTACGACTTGGATAAGCGTGATCGGAATATCTAAAATCAGCCTTGCTACTACCACAGCAGACGGTCGATGCTATGTACCTCATATCAACAAATACTCGCAATGGTCTAGGCGGGCTTCAAGCATACCAGAGCATAAGTCTTATGCCGTTGTACAATATCACGTCCCAAAACTGCGCCAACGATTTCCGACATCCGAATCCAGCCCAAAAATATGCATCCAAAGTAAGCGCTACCACCTTTCATGAAGACGCCAGTGGTATCGTCCTTTTGCTTCCAGAACTGCGCACCAACCAAAAGAGTGATGATAATATTCGTCCAGATGGTAGTCCAGAAGCTCTGCATATCCCCTCGCAGAAGCCAGTACTCACGGCGCGTGCATGCTAGAACTTGCTGGACAAATGATACTGTGTGATTCGAATCAGAACAAACTGTACGTGACTTGGATGATTTGACCGATTTCTTGAAGTTGGTAGCGGCGGTGTTTCCGGTCGCAGCGAGTTCTTGCTCATAATTGGCTACATCTTCCAAGAGGTGAGCATAGTTCGGACTGTTCCGGAAAGCGGCCGCTAGCTCGTCAGGGGTGCGGGGAACCCTGTCCTCAAATCCAGGCCGAATTTGTCTCTCAATCCGATCAGTAATACTTGTTAGGAAATCGGCAGTGGTTCTATCAAATGTCAGCACCTAAACCTCAAAGATCGCATTCAGGGTACAGACTGTCGATCAGGACACTGAAAACCTAAATCAATGAAATATTTCTTTGCTTCGGTAGCGGGGCCAGAAAAAATCATCCTTCCCTGATCAATCACAAGTACTTTGTCCATAAGATCGTAGATTTCCTCTCCGGCCTGGTATAAGGTCACGATTGTTGTTCGGTTGGAGACATCAGTCATGATCCTCAGTGATTTGGCATAATCGAGCGCGGTGTTGGCATCCAAGCCTCTAGTCGAGTTATCCCAACAAGTGACGGCGGACTTTGTGGCGAGTGTTTCCGCAATGGAGACTCGTTTCCGCTCTCCTCCAGATACACCTCGAATGAATGCATTTCCAACAACTATGGTCATACATTAGTTTTATTTTCTCCCCCTCCCCTCCCCCCCCAAGGTAACTTACTTGTGTGTGCCGCATGCGAAATTCCAAACATTTTTAGCAGCGCGTTAATTATTATAGGGATGTTCTCCTTCTCTGATTTCTTGGTTTTATTTAACAGCGCAAACTCTAAAGTTTGATAAACTGTCATAACAGGAAAGTGCTGATCATCTTCCTCATTGTAGATCACCTCCCCTCGCTAATCATCATCACGCAGGATCGTCAGGAACCGCGATGGATAGACAGGGGATCCGAATTCATGGGATGACTTACATATTTCCTAGCCGCTTCCGCTGCCGGGATCCCACCATAATGAACCTCTCCTTCGACTGCTGCGAACGACGCCCGCTGGTTCGCAACTATTATAAATTATTGGCAAAATATAGGAGTGACGACTGCATATGACAAACTTACCAGCTCTCAAGAAGGTTGAACAACCGGCTCCTGGCTTCCCCAGGACAAGCATCATCTCCCCATCCCGGACAGCGCCAGTAAAGCCGCAGATGAGCTCTCTTGTCGGAGGTCCTTTCCCAACAGTAAGCGCAGGGAAGAAGCCCGTCATGATCCGATAAAAATCCGGTCCAAACGTCCCGATAATCGCGTCGGAAAGCACCTTCACATATGAAGTCGAAGTACCGACCCCACGCACTGTGATATTCTTGTAAACAACCCCAACCTTCTTCATCGACTCTCCATTCTCACGCTTCTCAAAGTGTCCCTCGCGCATAAAGCGGTCAAGCTGAAAACCCTCCTCGGCGGGATCATCAGAGGCTTTCTCACCGGTAGATTCCAGGGGTGTCTGGAGGACGTCATTGGTGAGGGATAACCGGAAACGGGCGAGACGAACATGGGCACTATTCCGCCGCGAGTATTCTCCACCAGTCTTGTCTGTTTCGATCCGAGATAATTGTTCACGGAGAGACTCAAAGTCTTCCAGCGCAGATTTGTAGTTGACGGCCTCATTCTGGCCCCAGATGCCCTGGCCGGGTGGGGATTCTGGGTACACTTTGGTAGAGTTTGACGACGTGGAATGTTCGATTTCAGAGTCAGTCCATATCTCTGATTCACGGCGGTCGTTGCCGACCTTCGAAGTGCGACGACTCATGATTGGGTCTAGTCAGTTTGTGGGAGTGGGATGGAGAAGAGGGAGCAGCAAGGCGGAATGGTACGATAAACCCCGGGCGTGGGCAGAGAGGCTGATCTATAGGTATATCTGGAGGCAGCGACGATATCAAAGGCAAAAAACGGAGCGCCAGGACCTGATTACAATTCGAATCCGGTTAATGATTGGATTCGGAAAACCTCCGGACGAATGCAGATAGGATCCTTTCACGAGTCTTTTGATATGGGGTTTGCTCTTGCCAATTATGAGAAGGGTGGTAGGGTCGTGGGAGGGACGGGGAAGCCTGATCAGCATTATACTCAGGGTCCAAATGCAGGGTTTTATTCTCCTTGCCCCGATCAGCACGGTATGATAATGCTGCCTTCCTCCGCTCCACCATCCTTAAAGGCACATTACGATGAATGTCTGATATCCAGACAAATCGTGATTTGTCACCATCTCCTTTGCCTAGAAATATGCTCGAGTCCAAATTGTGATGACTGGAGTATAAGCGAAATCGGAGGAACCATGCTTCGTACAGTATGCGGAAGGGGCAATATGTTGAGTTAGGCATGTTGAACAGGATTGTGGGATCGCGATATGCGTGGTTCAGGTCGCGGCCAATGTTGCTACCCTTGCCGCAGTGGCCTCCCGCGGCTATGTAATGGTATCATACCTATGGGGCCTGACCTGAATCAGGTCCCGCGAAGGGTCCCACGCGATCTGTGGTATGGCGTTGCGGCTCAGTGCCAAGACGGGTGCAAACCCCTGAGACAGCACTCGCAAGTGGTGGGACTTTGTCCAATATCTGCGGGACCTAAGACATCCCCAATTGAAGGGTTAAAATTACCCTAATGAAAAAACACTTGATTTTTTAATATTTCGCCCATGGGCTTGACAATGAATAACTCTCCACTACGGTACTCGAGTGTACCCAACACGAGATATTGTAGTGGTAACTTAAATCATATTCTTCCAGTCCGCATCCCCGTCCAGCCAGCACGTGAAAACGCTCGTGGTGCAAACCCTCCCCCGGATTCTCCCCATCGAATGCAGGCAGGATAGCAGCAGGGAGCCACTCTTACCGAGCCAACCCATCGGGTCCAACAATGCTACCCAAATTGCAGGGTTTCGGAGATAGTTATCCCACCGCGTTTACTCGGGCCCAAAATGTCAGTGATATGCTCTGCGGAGCCACCGAACCTTCGGAGTTAAGCTGCGCTGGAAAAGCAAAGCAATTGGCCTTGCCCACGTTCCGGGCTCTGTGACCAGCCGATTAATTTCGGCGCCAGCGCTTGAACTTCTGGAAGGGATATTTCCACCTCAACTCGTAACCCGCCGCAATCGCCGGATCTCTGAGCGGCGTTTCCGGCACCATTTCCGTTTTTGGATCGGTCAGTGGGGACAGCGCGTACCCGCTAACCCAACCAATCGGCAGCCCCCACCTACCGCGGCTTGCGACGGATTCCAAACTTGACCTGTTATCAAGAATGTGTAATGCGCCTACATTCGCCCACAGGCCCGCGGGATGTGAGGAGCCGGGTCTCTAATAATCTTACTCTTATCATACAAAGCACAGCGTCGGTATTATCTATTCCGGCTCGGGAAATCGGCCACTCTTACCCCGGACACAAAGTTCCAAGATATATATCTACTGGTAGACCATCCCGGGGATATGGCTAACAATGGAGAGGGATGATCCTCGTCCCTCACTCAACATTCCCGTTATTACTCGTATTTATGACCTTTCCAGGCCATGTTCGGCTTGGAACTTCAATGACTTGTGTTCCTATGGGGCAGGGATCACGCCGGCCCTTTCCTGTCGGATAATGAGCCAAAGTTATTGGGAGGGCAATATAATTAATTATCCGACAGAACATTATGCACCCGTCCTCGGATACCCGCAAGCAAATTATATGCCAACCCCCCCTATCAAACGATTCATGACATTACACCCCCAAACCAACCACCACAACTCGCCAACGGCGCCATACTTGAAACACCAGTCAAGCTTGAGCCAGTCCTCGCAAGAAACACTCCACCCACTCATAAGTCCAGGCCGCGCCCCGGCCGAATACCCCAAATCAACCCTCACCCCCTCGGCCCACAATTGAAGCTTGAAGTGCCCCCCGGGAGATTGTCCGATCTCGCGAGCGCTCACCCGTTCTAGGATCTAGACCTATAGCCAATCACTCGTTTTTGTTTACCCGGGTCGGCACGTGACCTCGCGAAGGAGAACAAACGGGGAAAGAGGGGGGTGTCTTAGGGGTTTAGGGTTAGAGGTTAGGGTGGGTAGCGAATTACCGGTATACTCAAGTATCATACCGATATGTGAGGTGTTTGACTTTTTTTTTCTCCCTTTTTTCTCTGCATGTACGAGTACGAGTAGAATGTCTCGTGGGGCGATTTTCCCGTGTTTCTGCCCAAGTTAAGACGTGTGCCCAGACAATCTAATGCCAAACCTGACTACTGCGCGGATCCTAGGCGCCAAGGTGTCCTAACATCATTGGTATTCTGAATAGTCTACTGTGCCGGAGTTCCTTAGGAAAGGGCTCCCAAATTTCGGCGAGGATAATGCGATGTTCAATACCGGTAGAATACTGAATGATACATCGCTTCGAGATGTTAAAATCGGCACGTACCCCTTGTCTCGAGCACCAACACCACCGCTAGGCCTTGATGAAGCTTATCTACGGCCCAATGTTAAGCAATCTCTTCCCAAATTTGTATTAGGGTCATAACCAAGATAATACTACCATCGCACACGCATGCAGAGACCAATCATGCATGTAAACACCCTCTCCCGTAATATCGAAACGTTTTCAAAAAGGACTGCTATTGCATACCACCAAAATCCTACCCTTTTGGTGAGATTTCGGGGTATGCAATAGTATCATACCCCCGCATCAACACTCCACTCCCAACCCACTCTACCAGCCAGCCAACCATGCACCGGCACCTGACCCTGGGACCGTACCTCCCACCACTCCCATCACCCAAGCATCTTCAAAAACACCGGTTGTCCACTTGCATTTTCCAAATACCCGGTTGTTCCAACTCCCCGGGCTGGCGCTCATCGGGAATACATAAGGCAAGGCTTTAAGTTAAGTTAAGCAGCGGGTGCCCGTCGAGTCTTGTGCGGCAATTAACTTTGTCTCCACTACATATCATCCTTCGACGTTGTCACGCGACGTGCTGTGCTGCTTGGAATGGCGGGCTGAGGGAACTTTATTTGGAGTTGTATCACATATGATAGAATTCCAGCGAATTAGGGTTGAGGGATCCGCCATTGGGGGTGGCGTTGCCGGACTGATGGAGAGAGGTTTGCTGTGGTTGGCAACCCTGGTAAGTTTAACCTTCGTTTTTGATGTTTCGCCTTCTATTCTTTTTTTATCCGAAAAAGGTTTGTTATGGGATATCTGTGTTGAGAATTACTCCTCTGAGTTGATGTGTCGCGAGAGAAGTGTCTAGGCTTCCTACTCACTATTGCGTATGCTGGGTTGTACTGGGTGGTACGTGGAAGTGTGTATTCCGTATCACTAGTCATGTGACTAGGTTTGGGCATGACTATATACCGTTCTTGTTTCGCTTAGCTAGCTGTAAGACTTAATCAACAATCTTCTGCTGCACAACAAAAACGTCCAATTCGTAACAGGTTATGAGCCCAGTCTGCTACTTTGATTCCTCTATGAAATAAGAAAATTTCTTTCTCTTTTCAAATCCTTCCTTTCAAAAGTTTCTCCATCTCATTTATTCTTCCATACCTTTTTTCCTCAGCATACCCGCTCTACACTTCCACTCCGCACTCCTGCTCCGCATAGCAAACAACCTACACCATGTCTTCTGCCTCAAGCACCTTCACCAATCTTGAAAAGGGGACTTACCGGTGTAAATACGGCGAGACGGCTAAGCTCGATTACGTGAACTGTAGCCAATGGCATTGTGATATAGAGTTCTTCCTACAGGCTGAACAGGCCTTGTCGATTGTTTTGGGAGAGGAAGTTCGCCCGCAAGGGCCAAACACCAATTCAAATGACTTTGACAAGCGGGCTGGCATTGGTGCAGCCATTATCCATGCCTCTTGTGAGTCCTCAGTCAAGGCCTATCTCCATGGCTTGAGGGACCCACATGCAATGTGGGAGGAGTTGAAGATGAAACTTGACACTGCAAACTCCCATGCAGGGAGAACTGCAATTCTATGGAAGTTCAACCAATTACGCCCTACTCCAGAATCCTCAGTTGGCGACTATATCACTCAGCTCCTTGAGTGTAGCAAAGAGCTTAGTGGAACCGAGCAGGCAATTCCAAAAGAAACCTTCATCAGCTATCTCTTAACAACCCTACCAAAGTCTTTCGACTCAATAATCGATATAATCACCTATCGACCAGAAATGGAACAAACATCTTACAGCGTAATCTCCACGCTTATTGAATGGGAGGCTGCAAGCAATACTCGAAAGAGCGAAACCAAATCGACAAAGACAAGTTCCCCCAGCTACCACCTTAACTGTCTATACTCGCAGGGGATCTCGAGGTAGAGGTAACTTGACATCAAGGAGTACCCCCTATCGCTCTCGTCCACAAGGTCATCCTTCCTTCTGTCCTTCTACTTATAATCGTAGAGAGGTCCTGCATTTGGCTCTACTTGTTGGTATTGCCTATGTCCAGGTCATCGGCAGGATGACTGTGATCTCCGTAAGCGAGCGGAGGAGGCAAAGAGGGAGAGGGGTGGTGTAAGATCTGGTGGAAATGGGAGATGAGAGGGGGATGAGGCCGGAGCTGCATTTGCCTCTGTCCAAGTACTTGCTGGCTTTGTAGTCAAGAGAAGTGATACAACAGGTTCGGATTTCAGAACTTGGATTGTTGACTTTGGAGTCAGCCATTACCTATGCTGTGACCATTTGGCCTTCTACACTCTAAAGCGACTTCCGAAACCAATCATAGTCTACTTCGGTAATAGTTCACCAGTCTTCGCTACCGGCTCTGGGAATATCACGATCGCT